GGCCGGCTCTGCGCAGGCACAGAGCTCCCCGTGCTGAGCAGCTCGGCTGCTCGGTATTCACGCTCTTTTGTGCTTTGTTGTCAGCAGGAGAGCTGCGGCTGGTGGGGGAGAGAGTAATGGCCTGGTGGGAAGGGAGCTGTAGACATCCCTTTGTTGAAACCCGCCTGCTGTGCCACTAAGGCACAACAGCCCTGCCATGGCACGGAGGGCATGCCGGAGAGAGCCAGGCCTTGGGGCAGATCCTAGGGGTAGGGCAGGCTGGGGGGCTGGTCTCTGCCCTGTTGACAGATAGGCAGTTTTCATCAGATGTAACTAATCTGTGCTGTTGCCAAAGGTAATGACTTATGGTACATTGCCTACATGTCTGAATTGCTGGGGTTTGGGGAACAACCCAGAATCTCAGATGAGATTATTTTCTTCTTTTTAAGTAGTGGCTTTGGGGTATTTCTATGTTTTACTCTATAGACCTGTAGAAAGCTGAAAGTGTAATTAATGTAAATTCTAAATAAGAGAAATTGGAAGACAAGTTATCCTTCAAAAGTATTGCATATTAAAAATCCTTTTGGGTTTTATGGTTGGAGTTTTTTGAGGTTACTATATGTGAAGCCACTGGCATTTAATCAAATTATCTGGGGCTTATAAAGTGTTCTAAATCATAAAACTACCTGATGGAAGTTTATTTAAAGCTTATATCATGGATACTTTTACAGAGACTGAAGATGCCAGATAAGATAAAGAATTTTGAGATTTGGAGTAGACAAAACTGTCTACAGCTGTGCAAACAGTACAGCGATGGGCATGTATTGGCCATGTTTTGGTACTGCTGGACTACAGCGTTCCTAAAAAAAGCATCTTTCTAACAACTCATAAGCAGATGAAACAGAGGTCATCTTGGAGGGACTCTTCTCAGCGTGATAATAACTGAAGCAGCCACTTTACAAATCAATAACTTGAATGGATTAAAGGAAATGGATGGTCCATTAGTTGGTGTAATGCAATTTCTTATTATAGCTGACGTAGATTGGCCTATAAATTAAAACTCAGAAATGAGACTGGCAACATGCACATGAATGTGCATCATGTAAGAGTTTCAAACACCAAATGTAAGTAGTGAGGGGAGGTGGGGGTGTAGGGGGAAGAGGGGGCAGGATTCAAGATAGATGGCTTGTGAGTGGTATTTGTTAACCAGTGGGTTGGTAAGGCTTGGTTGTTGGTTTGTGGTTTGTTTGTTTGGGTTTTTTTTTCCTGAACAGGCTATGCATCTGGTCTGTATGCATGAATGTATGCACAAGAGGGCTTTGTTTATTTTACTTTATTTTACCTTTTTGTGTCTCTGCATGCACTTTCTGTCTGTGATGCTTGGACCTTTTATCCCCAA